CGTTTACGGATTTGTTCAATCTTTGAGGTTTTAGTATTATTAATACACATATATATCCCATAGTGATCAGCTATATCTGGGTCAAATACTCCCGTGTTGATACTATCACCACTAATATTAGTTAGAATATTATCAAGACGGGATTTTGAAGTAGGTGTGATACGCGTAGGAACATGGATGTAGTGTTTCATACCGTACATAGCAATTAAGTTCCGAATTTCTCTGGAATGATTCGAATTTATATTGTCAAGGTCACAGTTTAAATCGCCAATCAAACTAATGAATTTGTATTTAGCTGAAAGATCGTATAGTAGTTTACTTAATTTGTCTATGAATATTTGAAAGTCTCCATTTGAAGACGACCTATAGATGGTGATCAGTACACTGCTTTTATTAACAAACTCTATTCCGCAAAATTCAGCATGAAAACAAACTGAGTACTTTGAAAGTTCTAGACATTTTATGTTAACATTTAAATTACAGTAGATGGCTACACCTCCGTGTTTTCTCTCTTCGCGACAATACGAGGATACAAGAGAATAATTATTAATTTTTATGGTATCAAGATTATCATAAGTAAGCCAATGCTCAGAAAGGCATAAAATATCAAATTTATAATTTTCTAACATTAAACGAATATCATCTAGTTTATTAGCAAGGCTCCGGACATTAATATGAAGCAACGAACAAATATTTGGCCTAGACAAATGCGACATCAGCAAATTATTGGGATAATCCTCAGATTGTGTTGACTGGAGATTTTCTTGGCAGAAAAAACCTATTCAGAATTACTTGACTTGGCCATATATTTGAATCAAGAATTGCATTAGATTCAGAACTTAGCAAAGAGATCTTAAAAGAGGAATGTTTAGTTGGGTTGCGCGAATTAAGTTTTTGAACTTTAACACTTGGTGCATATTTTTGCAAGTGCTTTTCTAATTCTTCTGCAGGAGCATCCACGGCAAAATTTGTGGCATGATAATGGTATTCGTATAATACTGGATCCGCAGCTTTGAGCCCAGACACATTGGAATTTTGTTGGGATCCTATTAATAGTGGCTTTCTTGACATATAACCAATATTTGGTAGATTTTTGGGTGGACCATGATTTTCAAGATTTATTGCAGAATTGCAGATTTCAAGTGCTTTAGCATTATGTAAGGCACCGGCTACAGCACTTGCAGATACTATATTTTTTGGAGTAAATTTTTGCGAATGTCCTAAATCCACTACAGTACTGTTGGTATTATTTATGGCCGCAGCATGGTCAATTTTTGTGCTAGAAGCCTGTTCACTAATAATAATAATAATAATAATAATAATAATAATAATAATAATAGATAGATAGATAGATAGTTTATTGACATATTTACATATTACAATATATTTTATGTCATTCTACAAAGTATAAACACTAAACTAACCAAAATATAACTAAAGATAAAACAGTAAAGTGTCGTAAATTAATAAATATAAAATATTTTAGGTTTTACAGACAAAAACAAACATGAAAAAAATAATGTAAAGTGGATAAAATGTTAAAATTGTTAAAACTGATAAAATCATCTCGTAAAATTTTTGTATTCGTCTATGCTATAAAAACATTCTGTCAATAAAAACTCCTTAACTAAATTACTAAATCGTTTTAAATTTAGAGCACCTATATTAATATTCCTATGACAGTTTACAAATTGATTATAAAGGACCAAATCCAATTTATTATTATGCGTCAGGCAAATTCTTGATTTAAAAGGAACTAGACTCTCCGCATTCCTTGTATTGTAGCTGTGATGATTATTATGCGAATCCAATGAATTACGTTTTTTATATATTTCTTTTAATGATTCCAATATATACAGACAAGGCAATGGAAGAATCCTGTACCTTTTAAATAGCTGCTTACATGGCAGGTCGAGTTCTGCACCGTCAATAATCCTCAAGGCAGCTTTTTGGAGAACAAAAGCCTTCTGAGAGTGATAACTGCCGCCCCAGAACACGACACCATAAGTCAGATGGCTATGTATAATTGCATAATAAACAGTTTTTAGCACTGATTTTCCTGAAAAACTCGCTATTTGCCTGAGTGCAAAAATTTGGGACGCCAATTTTGAACAGACATTGTCTACATGGCGCGACCAATTCAAACCGGCATCGAGCATTACTCCTAGCAGGTTTACTGACCCGGCTAGTTTGACTTTACTGGAAGAAAAAGTAACGTTTTGAGTTTTTATATTATTTAGCTTTAAATCGTTTGCCGCAAACCATTTATTAGAGGACTCTAAACAAGTTCTGCTCGAGATCGTGTCATCTTTGGATAGGAGAGTGGTATCATCTGCAAACATGATACTAGTACAGTGTTTCATGTTCCGCGGCAAGTCATTAATATATATTAAAAATAGAACAGGGCCCAATACAGAACCCTGTGGAACTCCTCTTAAAATGGGAGCCAATTGTGACTCCACATTATCATGAAACACGCACTGTAATCTGTTTGTCAGATAGGATGAAAATAAGGCAAGTTCCTTCCCCCTTATGCCATAGTACTCCATTTTTTCTAAAATAATATTAATGCTCACACAGTCGAAGGCCTTAGTGAGGTCACATAATACCGCAGTAGTATTCGAGCCCTCGTCAAAGCCACCGACTATGTAATCAATTACTTCAGCGACTGCTCTTATTGTAGATCTATGCCTTCTAAACCCAAATTGGGCTGGCGAGAATAAATTTTTATTTTCGAAATAGTTAATTAATTTCTCTTTTAGAGTAACTTCAAATATCTTACCGATAACAGGTGTAATGGCAATTGGCCTATAATTATCAGCATCGTTAGAATCACCTTTTTTAAAAAGTGGCAATACCTTACTAATTCTAAGTTGGTCAGGCCAACTTCCTTCGATTATGCACTGGTTATATAAAATATTCAGTGGTTTAATGAGGGATTCTATAGAGGCCTTGATCATGGGACTACTGAGGCCATAGTAATCCGTGCATGGCGTATTTTTAATATGAAGTATAGCCTCCCTTACGTCAGATTCAGTGACTGGACCCATAAAGAATGAATATGGGGGCTTCGGTGTCATTTTAATATAATCATTAGCGGTAACATTATTATCGTTTTCGATTGTTTGAATTACCTTCTCTGCTACATTGACAAAAAAAGAATTGAAGTCTTCAGCTGTTATATTCGATGTACTAGATGATTTGTTGTTGGATTTTCTTTCTGAGTTTACAATATTCCAAATTGTTTTATTTTTATTATCTGATGCAGCTATTCTTTTATTATAAGCGTTACGCTTCTCTAATCTAATTGACCTCCTATAGTTTTTGCGCGATTCAGAATATAATAATAATAATAATAATAATAATAATAATAATAATAATAATAATAATAATAATAATAATAATAATAATAATAATAATAATAATAATAATAATAATAATAATAATAATAATAATAATAATAATAATAATAATAATAATAATAATAATAATAATAATAATAATAATAATAATAATAATAATAATAATAATAATAATAATAATAATAATAATAATAATAATAATAATAATAATAATAATAATAATAATAATAATAATAATAATAATAATAATAATAATAATAATAATAATAATAATAATAATAATAATAATAATAATAATAATAATAATAATAATAATAATAATAATAATAATAATAATAATAATAATAATAATAATAATAATAATAATAATAATAATAATAATAATAATAATAATAATAATAATAATAATAATAATAATAATAATAATAATAATAATAATAATAATAATAATAATAATAATAATAATAATAATAATAATAATAATAATAATAATAATAATAATAATAATAATAATAATAATAATAATAATAATAATAATAATAATAATAATAATAATAATAATAATAATAATAATAATAATAATAATAATAATAATAATAATAATAATAATAATAATAATAATAATAATAATAATAATAATAATAATAATAATAATAATAATAATAATAATAATAATAATAATAATAATAATAATAATAATAATAATAATAATAATAATAATAATAATAATAATAATAATAATAATAATAATAATAATAATAATAATAATAATAATAATAATAATAATAATAATAATAATAATAATAATAATAATAATAATAATAATAATAATAATAATAATAATAATAATAATAATAATAATAATAATAATAATAATAATAATAATAATAATAATAATAATAATAATAATAATAATAATAATAATAATAATAATAATAATAATAATAATAATAATAATAATAATAATAATAATAATAATAATAATAATAATAATAATAATAATAATAATAATAATAATAATAATAATAATAATAATAATAATAATAATAATAATAATAATAATAATAATAATAATAATAATAATAATAATAATAATAATAATAATAATAATAATAATAATAATAATAATAATAATAATAATAATAATAATAATAATAATAATAATAATAATAATAATAATAATAATAATAATAATAATAATAATAATAATAATAATAATAATAATAATAATAATAATAATAATAATAATAATAATAATAATAATAATAATAATAATAATAATAATAATAATAATAATAATAATAATAATAATAATAATAATAATAATAATAATAATAATAATAATAATAATAATAATAATAATAATAATAATAATAATAATAATAATAATAATAATAATAATAATAATAATAATAATAATAATAATAATAATAATAATAATAATAATAATAATAATAATAATAATAATAATAATAATAATAATAATAATAATAATAATAATAATAATAATAATAATAATAATAATAATAATAATAATAATAATAATAATAATAATAATAATAATAATAATAATAATAATAATAATAATAATAATAATAATAATAATAATAATAATAATAATAATAATAATAATAATAATAATAATAATAATAATAATAATAATAATAATAATAATAATAATAATAATAATAATAATAATAATAATAATAATAATAATAATAATAATAATAATAATAATAATAATAATAATAATAATAATAATAATAATAATAATAATAATAATAATAATAATAATAATAATAATAATAATAATAATAATAATAATAATAATAATAATAATAATAATAATAATAATAATAATAATAATAATAATAATAATAATAATAATAATAATAATAATAATAATAATAATAATAATAATAATAATAATAATAATAATAATAATAATAATAATAATAATAATAATAATAATAATAATAATAATAATAATAATAATAATAATAATAATAATAATAATAATAATAATAATAATAATAATAATAATAATAATAATAATAATAATAATAATAATAATAATAATAATAATAATAATAATAATAATAATAATAATAATAATAATAATAATAATAATAATAATAATAATAATAATAATAATAATAATAATAATAATAATAATAATAATAATAATAATAATAATAATAATAATAATAATAATAATAATAATAATAATAATAATAATAATAATAATAATAATAATAATAATAATAATAATAATAATAATAATAATAATAATAATAATAATAATAATAATAATAATAATAATAATAATAATAATAATAATAATAATAATAATAATAATAATAATAATAATAATAATAATAATAATAATAATAATAATAATAATAATAATAATAATAATAATAATAATAATAATAATAATAATAATAATAATAATAATAATAATAATAATAATAATAATAATAATAATAATAATAATAATAATAATAATAATAATAATAATAATAATAATAATAATAATAATAATAATAATAATAATAATAATAATAATAATAATAATAATAATAATAATAATAATAATAATAATAATAATAATAATAATAATAATAATAATAATAATAATAATAATAATAATAATAATAATAATAATAATAATAATAATAATAATAATAATAATAATAATAATAATAATAATAATAATAATAATAATAATAATAATAATAATAATAATAATAATAATAATAATAATAATAATAATAATAATAATAATAATAATAATAATAATAATAATAATAATAATAATAATAATAATAATAATAATAATAATAATAATAATAATAATAATAATAATAATAATAATAATAATAATAATAATAATAATAATAATAATAATAATAATAATAATAATAATAAT